ATATATGGCATGAAGTATATCAGGGAAATTATGACGCTATTCTTATTTATGGGCATAAATAAAAATAGCGAACAGAAATGAGTAAAATTAGCACAAAAAACGCAAAAAATCAGCTTATTAAACTCTGCGGACATACCTGCCACCTTTGAAAGCCTATGCACAAATGTGCCAAAATCCAACCCATTTTCCTGCAAAATCTACAGGATTTCACACCTTCCAAACCCCAAAAAAATGTTCTGATCCAATAAAGCCATGTCTTTTATTTTGATCTTCTTGGAAGAGTTAGTCAAGTGTCTAATGATGGAAAAACAGCTCAGTGACCTAAGACTATTCTCATAGACCGATTCAGTGTGATATTACGAGTCGGAGTCACCATTCCACTTGGTGAAAACAAAACCGTCACTCGCGGATACCTCGCTATCGGTGTGAAAATGAGGTATGAATACTTTATTATTAAAAATACTAAGCGAAAAAGCGATAGAAAGCAAAACTAGAAGTTGTACAGCTAAAAGAGTACCCATACCGTCTGCCTGCCCAAATTTGGACAGACAATCCTTCGAAATGGCCTAATATTGAATATCCCAACAATACAATTATTTCATCAACTTGCATGTAATAATAACGATTTTATGATAACATAATTTGCTACAGTAATCTATGATTTTTAGCTATATAGGGTATTTTCTGTGAATTCAGTGCCATTTCCTATTACCATATTTCTTCCCATTCACTAGGCGTTTAAACAAAGGAGACAATGAAGTCATGTAAAGGCTTACAAACACATGTGTTTTTCTCTCTCCCCACTAATTTGATCTTAAGAGATAGGCCCTCTTCTGTTATTTCATCTGCATGGATCATAAGCCATGTAAGACACAAAGGCCACAGGCAACTGTACGCCTGCTTTGTTTTCTTCTAATGGACAGTGCTTGAAGACACTTGGGGTAAAGTCTGGGTGAGCTGGATCTAGGAGTGGGTTGCCTGTAAATTAAAATTATGATAAATCAATCTATTACAAAAAAGTAAAATTGCTGTTGTGCTTTATAGCGTACATGACTGCTCCTAAAACCTATTGTAGATAATGTTGGTCTTGTTTGGCCTTGGTAGGTAGTGTAGACAGAGTTTGATAGTGATTATCTGTCTCTGGAATTTGAAAAGGTGTAAAATATTAATATGTAGATTAATCAAATATTCTGAGCAGATGTAAACATAATCCACCTGACACCCAAGCACTCCCATCAGTATTCAAGTATGCCATGGCTTGTACCCATTGCTTCCATTTTTAAGGTTTCTTTTTGCAATCTGTGAATATATGAAAGGTTAACCCTTTCTTTCCCATCATGTTGTGGTTTGAACAACCAACGGTAACACAGCTCCTCAACATTTTCACACAAAGAAACTAAATTATTGAAAAACTCAGTAACTTTATAAGCAGAGTGCAGTGAGTCTTTCGAATGAACGAGGGTTTGATTTCACCAAGTACTCGTTGCTCGGGGCAGTTGCTAGGCATTACTGAATCGGTCTATAGTGTATGGTCCACTTTTGTGATAATTTAAAAGTCAACATACCACTATCATTCTGCCAATCACTGTTAATTCTCCACCAGCTCTTGTAAAATCACGATACTGCATACCTAGAAGAAGGGCTTTAGGGAAAGGAGTTTCCATAACTTACATGATGTCAATGTAACCTTGAGATACACAGGAAATTCTACAAACTAGCCTCTATGAGTTGGTAAAAATTACGGGGTACCATTAATAAGAAAGGTGCCTGTGAATTCATGTTATATCAAGTTAATCCAGTGAATTACATCACAGATAAACAATATTACGTAAATTGAAGACTGACTCAGATTCAAGCCCTGAAATAATTCAAGTGCAAGCTCTGTAATGGAATGGTAGCAAGGTAATCCGACTTTAACATCAAAATACAAAACTGATAGAATATTCTGTTAAAGTTCCCCCAAAAATCAAATGAAGGCAGTCTCCCCCCTTTTCTCACCTTCCCCCTTTCTTGCTCTCGTCCAATGGCCACTTTTCTAACAAACGTAAGAAGTTTCTGTAGCTGTTCCTGGCCATTCCTTTTCGTGAGTTATCAGAGAAGGTAGCCAAATGTAAGCGTGCTCACCGCTCCCTGTGAACAAGACCTTCCTTCCCTGGCTTGACCGCCCGGCGGAGCACCTCCTCGGCTACCAGTCTACCACCGCTGGCTCTGATATTTCTTGTGCTCGTTCTCTCGGGTTGTATACATTTCATGATAAGTGGGTAAATATATATATATATATATATATATATATATATATATATATATATATATATATATATATATATATGTATATATATATTTATATATGTAATATATATATATATATAATATATATATATATATATATATATATATATATATATATATATATATAGTATATATATACATATATCATCCACTATGATTTTAAAAAGTCAGGTAGAAGACAGCCACATGAAATATTACCAATGAATAGGAATGTCTAAAACATTTTGTACATTCCCTTTATAGGCTCGTTTCCCCTCAGACTCGGTGTAAACAATGGCCAGTCACAAGCCTACCTCTCTAGTCATATTACTTTGCCTCATTTCCCTGTCTTACTGCAGGGACATTGAAAGAGAAATGACGGTGGAAGTGAAGGCAGGGACGCAGGAATGTTTCTACGAGAATGTGAAGGCCGGGGAAACCATAGATGTGGAGTACCAGGTAGGATGAAAGATATGGCTGGCTCCAAATGTACTGAGGACACGTCATCCAGGCGTTTAATTTTATACTGAAGATACGGCGATATTGTAGACATTTTGAACCATTATAAAAGCAAGAGATTATTGGGAGGATATACTTAATGTGGATTAAACTTTCTCAGTTGTGGTGGGTATGTATGGTTACTTTACAGTTTATGATAATCGGGACTTCCCAGACAATACTTATATCAGATTTAGATAAATTTACAGTAAAATTTCAGATTCAGCCAGCCTCCGATTTTTGAAAAAATGGAATGGATAATTCCTTCGTTCTTTAATGCTATAATGCTGCTGTTCTCGGTCGCATCTGACTGCTTGACCAGTGACGGAACTTGTACTCCCCGACAACAAAGTTGCTTAAGTGTGTAAGATTAGTTTTCGCACTGTATTTTTAGGAAGAATTTAAATGATTTACACGGTAAATTAGAACTAAAACACTTTTAAAATATTTAAATCGTGTTTGTTGAAACTTTAAAAGAACTAGAGGCATGTTTTATCTTGATAATTATGGCCTGCAATTGTGCGGTTAAATTTTGGTTTAATTTTTGCCTGACTGCCGCATAATACAAATGATAATACAAATATTAGTAACTGTCGCATAATACAAATCATGAAGGAAATTGTTGAAGACCGCGATGCATCCTCGCAGAGACTAAGTTCCAAATGGGGGGGCCCTCCCCCAACAAAGGGGGGACCCCTCCCCCAACAAAAGGGGGACCCCTCCCCCAACAAAGGGGAGACCCCTCCCCCAACAAAGGGGGGGAATTGAGTTCACAAAGCTTCATTGGGGGTGGGGGGGGGATTGCACGATATCAATAGCAACCTGTAAATGTGCAATTATAATAAAAACCATATACACATTGATCAAAATTGTAATTTTATGAAAGACAAGCCTAAATTTATGTCCCGGCAATAATATAAAGCCAGCATAATAAAAAAAGAGTCAGACTTTGTCCGACAGATAGCAAATGAAATACCGCTAAAGTAAACAAGCGCAACACGCAATGTGTACAAACTTGATATCCGATACACATTTTTCACAAATATAAAATGTGGTTATCCTGCGAACCAAAATAACGATAGCATAAAATATCAAATTAATCCCCCCCCCCCTCGCTTATTCGCACGATGTCAATTTACTTTAAAAATTATTAAACAATATACAACTCATAGAGTCAGTGTACAGACGAGATGAGGCGTGGAGGAACTAATGAAATATTTTATTCTCCACCAGATACACCATTTTTAATATGAGCTTGACAAAGTACCCGGTGAAGTGAAATTGCATCTAACTTTTCTATTATGTTGGGAGGTTTTGTCGCACCTACATGAATATATATTATAAAATCATTAGTCGCCGTCGCATTTGGGGTATTTAAAGGCTTCTGATATGAGGGCATGCGACTGGCATATTCCTCCACGAATTGACAGTACCTTCCATAAAAAATAATTTTGAATAACACTATTTATCCACAATGACAAAAGATACACTCATTTTTAAATTGTCTTTAAAACAAATATAAATATAAAACAAACATTTAAACAAATATCTTGAACTTACCCCATGTCACACTGCGCACAGAAATTGCTAGGTCCATCCACGTCGAGCTTACCGTAAAGTGTTCAAGTAATGAAAATTCTGTGTTTTTCCGACATGGGAGGCAATTAATGTAAAGAGGCAGTAACGTTGTTACATTGTTAACAGTGAATCAACGTTATGATAACGAAATTATAAATCATAAAATATATACATTACAAAGAACAATACTTAAAATGTATAAGCATAAAAGGAAGAGAGGAAATAATGGATTACAATATTAGTAATCGGTAATGTTTCCATGTTGAAAGTACTGCACAGAAAACATGACATTTATAGAAAATGCAGCTATAGAAAATAGAATAACAGAAAATGAGACATATAGAAAACAAATTTATAGAAAATGTAAGCATAAACAAAGCTCTGGCTTTGGAAGGCTGTATTGGACTTAGGCTCTGTGCGCCGCGTTTTTTTTCTTTCCATTTAACGGTAAATATAAGGCCTCTGCATATTAAGATTACTTCTGTCCTACTCTATTTCTTCTGCTCTGTAAGATGGTGGTGTCCATTTTCCTCTATCTATACGCGTCGCCGTCTTCAACCTCTACTATCTTGAATAAACAAAGGGAACTTTTTAATATGAAAATGTGCATTCCAAGTTTCCTGAAGATCATATCAACATGTGAATGAAATGAAGTT